TAACATAGACTAGTTGGCTGGCCAAGGTTATGTCACTGGAAGCCAACAGTGCTGTGTTATCAAGGAGCAAAACATTGGAGTACTCCAATGAGGAATCTCAAGGGCAGCTGAATACTTGTAGCAATCTTTTTCCAAAAGTGAAGAAAAGAGCCAGTGAAGCTCATACACAGAAAGTAGTGACCAGTCTACGATACCCTACGGGTTCTGAAAATTTATAGCATGTGGACCTAAACTACACCTGAGGGTCCTGAAGAATGAAGATCTTTGTAGTAAAAGGACACAGGAAGGACTGAAACCTAATAGCACTCTAAGCACAGACACCAGTGGCAATCAAAGCCAGCAACAGAATCCCCCAAAAATACAAGCCAGGACCAAAGAGGGCCCCACCATTCCATTCAAGAGGTCAGGAGCAGAAAAAACCTGGTCCTGATCTGAAACAAAGTCCCAAATCAGGAAGTATGGCTAAAAAAAGGTAAACAGAAGAAGATAAATAAATTTTATGGCTACAGATATATGTCCAAGACATACATCCAAAAGAAGAGAGTAACTGCTTGGTTACAAAGACTCCAGGATTCCCTGTAAGAAATAAAAAATAAGATTGAAATATGAATATTGCAAATAAAATTTGAGCTTTAGAGGGAAAAAATGAGAAAGAAGATACGTAGCTTAGTATAGGACAATATAAACCTAACATCAAAAAGCAGACACCCTGAAAATTATCACTGAACAATGAGAGATCAATGATTCCATGAGCCAACAAGAAACAACAGAACAAAATCAAGTCTAAAACTCAGAAAATGACAGGTATTTTGGGAAATAGGTCAAAGGGAGATAATCTAAGAATCATCACAATACCAGAGAGATACGACAAAAAAAAAAAACAAAACAAAAAGACCTCACAAACGTTAGTTACCACACTCCAATAAACAATGAATAAAAATTGCCCAAATCTATTCAGAACTAGAAAAGTGAAAATACAAAGAATCCAATCCAATCCAATTCAAGAAACATTTAAGTGCTCATTGCGTGCCAGGACCATGCTAAGTGCAGATGATACAATTAATAAATAGAGTTTCTGATCTCAAGGAGTTTATAATCTAATTGGGGGGGGGGAAGACAACACTCAAAAGGAGGCAGTGAAAGTGGTAGGGGGATACCCCAGGGGCAGGGCAATGACATCTTGTTCCATGGTGCTGAAATCAGGCAAAGCAGCAAATTCAGGATGGGATGAGCTGAAAGTCACATTTCTGCCCTCTATAAAGGAAGGCATTAGGGAGAATTTGGTATTCTACCCTTTAGCCCTCCAATCAGAAGGGAGAAGAGGATGAAGGAAGTGGTGTCAATCAAGGCTTGGATTAGCAGCATGGTGATGAGAATCCACCAATCATCTTCTGAAAGAAACAAAAAAAAAGGAAGCACGTGCACAGGTGCATACACCCCCCCCCCAAATCTCAGCGATATCATAGCCCAAATTCAGAGCTTCCAGGTCTGAGTTTGAATAACAGAACTGAGAATAACACAGAACCGAGTTTGAATAACAGAAACCATGAGAGGGTCATAAAGAACTTGGGAGCTACAACCATTATCAAGGGAAAGAGACCTTAGAATTATGATATTCAAGATGGCAAAAGTCTTAAAAAAAAAACCTGCCAGAATTGAGTATAATCTTAAAGGGAGAAAAATGTGTGTTTCATGAAGCAGATGACTTCCAAGCATTCCCGATGAACAAGACCAAACTGAGAAGGAACTTGGAAATATAAACACAGGATTCATAAGAAACTGAAGATGCTAAATACATCCAAGCAAACGGAAAGGGCCTATCTTGGGATGGATTTTAATCAGAACGGCCCCTGAAATAAATAAGACAAGTGTATATCATTCAAACAGCGAACTGAAGGATATTTGTTTAGACAAAGCAGGAGAAGGATATTCAACAAGAATAAGCACTAACACCAGAATTTATTCAGCTCAGCAAATCTTTCTCATCTACGTACCCACTGTTTTTGGTTTTTTTCCTATTAGCCAGGCACCAGAGAGGTCTGGAGCTCCTTGTGGCTGCTTTGTACTTAAGTGATCAGAAATTAAGGGGAACAGCCTGGACCTTTATTTATTTATTTTTTTTAGTGAGGCAATCAGGGTTTAAGTGACTTGCCCAAGGTCACACAGCTAGTATGGGTCAAGTGTCTGGTCTGAGGCTGGATTTGAACTCGGGTCCTCCTGACTTCAGGGCCCGGTGCTCTATCCGCTGTGCCACCTAGCTGCCCCAGCCTGGGCCTTTAGTTTTTTAAGTCAACCAAATCTTAAGGATGTTCTCAATACCTTTTAAGGAAAAGTTAGCCTAAATTCCATGGGGACAGGGGTAAGGATACTACTTGTACCATATATCTCACCTTTGTGTTAAGACTTTCTAGAGCAGTGGTGTCAAGCTCATAGAAAGGGACTCCTGCCCTGGAGGCATATTGACTTAAGCTATTAAAGCATGACACTTCACTTGAGACTTTTGGAACACCTTGTAAAAACTGCAAATACATAGAATCTGTCAAATCCATGCTACTGAAGACAGTGCTACAACAGACCCGTATAAGGAAAAAATGCAATGGCCATATTTCATAAGAAAATAATTTATAATTTGCCATAGATTAATTTCAGAACAACAAAGGAAGAAAAGAGTGAAACAAATGAGTAACTGATTAACTGATGCTGTTAGTAATTCTATTTGACCATTTATAATTTTTTTTTAATTTTCCAAATCTCACGACATTTGTTTCCTAAAAGAGTCTTCTATTAAGGAAATCTTAACTTGATAGATGTAAATTCTTCATTTTATTCTTCAAATTGTTTATGAATGAAAAGATGGTTAGTTTCTATCAGTGGTTGTTTCTAAACAACCATCACTTTAAAATCCTCATCTTTGGTTAAATACTGAGAATTACTTTGCTCCTCTAGTACATTTCATAGAGTCATGGAACCTCAAGAGTTGGAAGGGACCTCAAAAGTTAGCTAGGCCAACAAATAACAGAGCAGGAATCTCTTCTCTGTTATCCATGATAAGCAGTCTGAACAGCAGAAAGAAAAATGTTAGTTAAGTTTGTCCTCTTCGAAAAATACAGTGGATATTTCAGTAAGGTAAACAGCACACTACTGAGCTATCCAAATTCTTCCTGGTTATTAAGTCTGTTTTTTAGAAATGATGAACCATTATTGTCGGTCTTTTCAATGGGTGGGGGAAGGGGCTGGAGGGAGGGAGAAAATTTGGAGCTCAAAAAAATGTTGAAAAATATTTTAAAAAGAAATAAAAAATAAAAGAAATGATGAACGAGGAAACAATGTCAGTAGCCCTTCAATCCACACTCATGCCCACCTTCAACGCTCCCTCTCTTTTCTGTTGCTGTGTTCCATATACATAGTATAAAAGGACATTCTCAACTATGGTGAAAAAGAACAGAAAAATTGAAAAAAAACTGTTAACTGTCTAAGGAACTTGATATAATTTTAACTTGAGTTGTGTATACTTGTACAAATAAGGCTTTAGGTAGAACTAAATTTAAGTTTTCTTTCAAAGGGCTTTTATTTCATTCAGAGAGATAACTTAGCCAGTCTTAAGAGTCATGGAGCCCTGGGTTCAACTCCTGCCTCTGAAACACTATGTGACCATGGCACATAATTTCTGGTCTGAGTGTCCCAGGCAACTCTATAAAACTATACGTTAAAAAAAACTGTATATCTGCATTGCTAGAATAATTTTCTCATTGAGAATTTTCTATACAGATAAAACACAGATTTGAACCCCGCTCCACAACAATTATCTATTTTTTTTGTTATTTGGGGGGGGAGCTTTTTAAGGGGGAGGCTATTGGGGTTGTGATTTGCTGGTCACACAGCTGGTAAATGTCTGAGGCTGGATTTGAACTCAAGTCCTCCTGACTCCAGGACTAGTCAGTGCTCTAACTACTGAAGCACCTACCTGCCCCCAAAACCATCAATTTCTGATGTATGTTCCAGTTCCTCCTTTGTACCCTCCTTCATACTCTGTCACTATTCCTGTGGCCCCAACAGTGAAAAAAGAAGGCAGTGCATGTAAGTAGATGGACATATTAGAATTACTTACCTGTCTACCCTTCCTACCAGACTTGGGAATATGAATATGATCTTACTTCTTTATTCCTTTAGCTCTTTTTATATTCATAAAAGAGATTCTTCATCTAAAATAAGAGGGCTAGACCAGAAAATCTCTGAGGTCTTTCCCAAAGCTGTCTAAAAATCTAAAATAACTTAAATATGTAAGCAGGATGACAGTCTAAAATTACAATGCCCTCAAGTATTAACATGAATCAGTCACTCAAAAAAAAAAAGAAAACAAAAGACTACACTTTTCAAAAGCCCATTTGAGATTGAATCAAGCACAGCTTGGTATTTGTCATGACGAGCACACACCGGGAGCTTATTTCCTAGGAAGCAGGTGTCTATGGTGTTATTCAAAGAACACTTGGACTAATTTACAAATTGTTGTTTCAGTCCGGTCCAACTTTTCATGATCCCATTTGGGGTTTTCTTAGCAGAGATAATGGAGAGATTTGCCATTTCCTTCTCCAGCTCATTTTACAGATGAGGAAACTGAGGCAAACAGTTAAGTGACTTGCTCAGGGTCACATGGCTAGTAAATGTCTGGGGCTGGATCTGAACTCAGGTTTTCCTGACTCCAGACCTGGCCCTCTATCCACTTGACTTAGAAGTAGAATGGAACAAATCCTGTCATTTCAAAGATGCCACAGACATTAAAGTCCAGCCTCTATCTCAAACCAAGCCAATCTATTTCTGAACGAAACCAGAGTTGATTTTGTTTTCTGAAAGACACAGGGAATTTCTAGGAAGCAATACTACATATCACAGGGACATAACTGTAAATCTTTAGAGTGATACTAATTAAATAAAATGAGGATAAATGGAAAGTGTTCCACCTTATTAGCACAAATAATAAAAGGCATTATGAAATGACTCACCTTTAATATTTCTTCAACACAGTGTACTTCATTTGGGAAGGCCTGCTGAATGTAAAAAAAAAAAAAGGAAAAAAGAAAAAAAAAGGAAAAAAAGGCATAAGAGAAGCACTCACTGTAATGTTGAAATAAACTAATAGGAAAAGCACCAGCCTCAGTTCTCCACAGAATCACAATACCCGCGTATCCCAATCTTCATTCAGATAAGGAAAAATAAAACCCAAAGGGCTTCACACTTGAGCCAAGACAAAAGAAAAGGCAGTACGTATCTCCAACTTCCAGGCATTTTTTCCTAATCTATAAAACCCAAGCCAAACAGTTTTAATGTACACAAACTCAAGGAAGAAATTAAATGTTAAATTAAATGTAGTCAGAAAGTGCCTGATTAAGTGACGAGTAACTTTTCATTAGCACCACTCTGGAACCTCTGAAAAACTCCAAGAGAAAGGACAACTTGACTTCCCTGTCATCTGAATCACTTATGTTGATGTATCTTCAAGGGCATTCCAACTGTGATCCAGGGCAGGGCTCAGTAACCTTTTAAGTCAGAGACGGAATGCCAAAACAGCATTGTGAATAAATGAAGTTTATTCTTCATTCACACTAAGTTCTGTAAGGCAATAATTTGTATCATTATTTAACTCCATTACTAACTAAATCTGATTAGAGGTTGGTAAGATATTCAAAAACATGTGGGTAGAAAAACCCATTACATAAAACAAAAGTAATTGCTAAGCTTTTTGATCCCAAATCTCAGTATGTGTGTCCATACATATGCACATGTATGTGTATATATGCATGCAGATGTGTGCATATGCATATATTTATATAAAAGTGTACAATCCCAACTTGTACTAAATTTACTTATTTATAAATGATATGCAAGTGCTACTATACTAATAATTAAGCACCGTACAACATTTACACAAAAAATATAAATTAAAAAAAGGATGGGGGTTTTTGTCTGTCCTTCATTCTCTAAGAGGACCAGTGACATCAGCAGGGTGATATTTTGACTTGCAAGTGAATTGGACTTGAGTGAGGCAGAGCTGTGCAGTAATCAGCCTCACTTCCTCCTCCAGAGTCATAGAGTCCAATGGCAAGGCACAGGTCAGGACCGCTGGAGATGGCCCAGGATGCAGGGGGGAGACCTTGGCCCTTTTAAGCTAAGGTCTTTTCCAGGTCTCAGTTTGTCTGAAACAACACCCATTCACTGAGGCAAAGGTTAGTCTAGTCTAGTGGGGGAGACTGGATGAGATAAGATAAAATAACAAAACAGACTCTGGAGTTACAGGGGGTGGGGTGGGGTGGGGTGGGTGTGGCACAGTTGAAGCTGAAATTCAAAGAGGTTGAGGGATTGCCTGAAGGGAGTGTTCCAGGAAGAGAAGGGACTGTGAAGCCAAGTCCTCGATTCATAAATCAGTGTTCTATTGTCCCACTTAGCCTCACTAACTAGCTGGCATGACTCATACTTCATTTAATCCTAAAAAGTCAATCCCTAGGACCATTTTTTTGACCCCATTAGAAATGGCAGCATCTGATATCACAGAATGGGGAGGACCCAGGGGAGACTTGGCTGGATTTTTGTTTTGTTTTTTTAAAAAGGTTTTTAATAAATTAATTCCCTCAATTTTCCTTTTCTCCACCTCAGAGTTCTCTAACTTTATTCAAGTTTGCATCTTTCTCTCAGGTGTTCCTTTCCAAAGTTACTCTTCTTTCTTACGTGTGTTGGACATTACATCTTCCCACCTACTCCCAGCTTTGATTGCTCAATGAAATATCACCCTTTTCCTTTGACTCTCCCACCCTCCCTTTTTAACGGCCAATTATCTCTGTCTAATAACAACCATGCCACATTTGTCCCCATTCCCCCTTTCCAGTCACTGAGAAACTTTTCAAATGAGAAGTCTCAACCCCCAGCCTTCCCTTCCTCAGCGCCTCTGCCATTCCACATTCAATTCAAAGTCATCTGACTTCCTCACTATACTACAAAGATCCTTTTTTCCCCAGTTAGCAAAGTCAGTCTACACCTCCAATGATCTTTTTTTCAGTCTTAACCCCTATACACCTCAGTTTCTTCACTGGTAAAAGGAGGCAAACAAGATGACCTTCTAAGGTCCCTTCAAATCTTCTTACAGATAAGGCAACTTGTGTGCAAGCAGGCTAAGTGAGAGCTAATCATAATCATAATCATAACAATGAGGCCTAGTAATTATCACATTTGTATTTCCAGGCTTCCTTGTTTCCATTAACTCCAGAACAAGAGTTCTTAACCTTTTTTTCTGTCATCAACCCCTCTGACAGTCTGGTGAAGACATACCCCTGGCTCAGAATGTTTATAACTGCATAAAATGAAATACACAGGATCACGAAGGAAACCAATTATACTGAAATACAATCATCAAAATATGAAAAAAAAAAAGTTCACAGATGCCAGATGAAGAACCTTTAACTCTATAATCATATTTCAATTAGCTGAACATAACTACCTCTCTGGAATTCTCCTCCATCCCCCAGCAGCCTTCTCACCAAGGAAGATGCCACTTGCCCTGGGGCTTTCTCAATCTAGAAGACCATGTGGCCCTGTTTCTCCCTCCTCTGGCTGGTGAGCTCCTCCTGAAGCTTTCACTTTGAGAAGATGCTCCGGCCAGCATGCTCACATTTTTTTACCCATTTTCCAACTCTGGGCTTCTCTTTCCTACTTGCTACCCTGATTTTCAGCTCCCTTTTTTATGCTATTTTCCCCCAGTAGAATGTAATCTCTTAGAGGGCAGGAACCATCTTTGTTTTTTGCTTGTGTCTGCACAAAGAACATAAACACAAGGTAGAGATTTTCAAACAAATTCGGGGGAGAGTGAAGACAATAAGTAGAGCAGGGTATAGGTCAGTTGTGGGCTGCATAATCAGGGAAATAGTGGGAGAGGACCTTTTACCATGAGACCATGACCTCTGTGACACTGGCAATAATTAGTACCGTTCTGGGAGTGAGACACAATGGAAAAAGGGAATCCCCAGAACAAACTCTACAAGGCAGTAAGAGAAAATGCCTAAAGGCTAGAGTCTGGAAGGATACTTCGGAAGCTTTGATTGCACAAGGAATTCAGAGAAAAGACAGAGACCAGAAAATTACAGGGGTCACAAATCAGAGAATCAGCATCTAGAAGAGACAGTAAATGGAGAGTGACATGAATCCTTTTTGGAAATGGGCATAAAAATGAAATTTAAAAAACAAATGGACACAACTAATTGAAGGAGAGGAAGAGAAGGGGGACCTCTAGCAAAACTCTAAAGGAAAAGGGGTTAACAAATGAAAGGAAAAGATTAGGGGTGAGGGAAAGAGAACCAGTGGGAATAGGGCCACCACTAAAAGAGATTAAGGTAAAGTAACTTAAGGAAGATGGCACTTATGTCTACAGCAGAAGAGGTAAAAAATCATAGCCTGGGGGAAAAAAACTAATACCAGAGATAAATGGAGGGAAATATAAACCTTTCATAATTTTAAATGAGAATGGATCAAACAATTCAATAAAAAGAAAAAAAAATGACAGTCTGGATAAAGAAACAAAACCCTACAATCTGCTGCTTACAAGAAACACATTAAAAATCAAAGATAAACACAACATAAAACTGGGAGAGTTGGGGGAAAAAATTACCACGCAACAAACAAGTAAGAGTTGCGATCATGCGATATAACAAGGTAAAAATAAACATTCAGAAAATGAAAACGGATAAACAAGGAAACTGTGTTGTGCTGAAAGGAACCACGGACAATAAACCAATATCCGTAATGATTACTTAGAGGCTCCCAATGCCTTAGCATCCAAATTCACAAAGGAGACACCTAAGCTACAAGAAGACATTGAGAGCAACAAAACAGCGCCAGGAAACCTCAATGTCCCTCTATCAGTTCTGAAAGAAAGACAAACAAAAGGGCAAGTATGGAACAGAACAAAGTGCTGGAAAAATCAAGAGTTGCAAAAGCATCTTCCAAATGGGAAAGCAAAAGAACTTACTTCTCAGCACCACACGCATTTTTACAAAAGGTAACCGTCTATAAGGGCACAAAGATACTGCAAGCAAATGTAAAAAGATAGAAACAGTTAATACACCCTTTACGGACCATACGGCAGTAAAAACAGTCGTTGGTTCAGAGACCAAAAACAAAAGATACAGAGACAAATAGAGACTTAATAATGGAATCTTAAATAATGAATGTCCAAAGAACAAGTCAAAAGAAACAGTCACTATGCAAGAGAAAATGTTAATGATAAAACAACACACCAGAATTTCTGAGACGCAGTAAAAGCAGTCCTGGGACTGAGTTACCGTGGGGGTGGGGGGATTATAACCTTACAAACACATATTAACAATTGGGAAAAGTGGCTTAATGAATTGAATGTGCAGTTTGAAAAATTAGAAAACCAACAAATGAACCTGAAATATGCAATAAAAAAAGATATTAAAAATTAGAGGGGAAATAGGTAAAATGGTGGCAGGGGGGAGGAAGCCATAGAAATGATCAGACTAAAAGCTGGTTCTATGAAAAGCCTAACAAAACTGATAAACCCACAGCTAACTGATTAAAAAAGGGCAGAAAACCAAATCAATACAATAGCAAATAAACAAGATGAAGTCACAGCAAAAACAAATAAAAATAATCAGAACATATTATGCATGGTTATACGTTAACAAAACTAATAACATTAAAGAGATAAAGGCATACTTTCAAGAATTGAGAAACTATTTGAATATCAGAAAGACATCTTAAAGAATTCAATCTCAGAAACAGAAATCGATGTAGCTGTAAAAGAACTATCAACAAAAAAAATTCCTACTCCTGTTGGATTTACAGGAGAATTATTTTCAAAAACTGAGAAAGTAAGCTGTGTACCAGAATCCTTTTGTGAGACAAATATAGTCCTAATGCCTAAACCAGGGAAAGATAAAACACAGAGAAAAGCTATAGGCCAGTATCATTAACGAACGCTGACACAAAAATTTTAAACACAATTCTATCAAACAGACTATATAGCAATTTACCCCAAAAA